TTCTTTCTTTCTTTTTCCTCTTTCTTTCTTTCTTTCTTTCTTTCTTTCTTTTCTTTCTTTCTTTCCTTTCTTTTCTTTTCTTTCTTTCTTTCTTTCTTTCTTTCTTTCTTTCTCCTCTTTCTTTCTTTCTTTCTTTCTTCCTTTCTCTCTCTTTCTTTTCTTAATCTCTCTCTCTTTCTTTCTTTCTCTCTCTCTCTTTCTCTTTGTTTGTTTGTTTCTTTCGTTCTTTCTTTTTCTTTCTTTGTTTGTTTGTTTGTTTGTTTGTTTGTTTGTTTGTTTCTTTCTTTCATTCTTTCTTTCTTTCTTTCTTTCTTTCTTTCTTCTTTCTTTCTTTCTCTTCTTTTCTTTCTTTCTTTCTTTCTTTCTTTCTTCTCCTTTCTTCTTTCTTTCTTTCTTTCTTTCTTTCTTTCTTTTCCTTTCTCTTCTTCCTTTCTTTCTTTCTTTCTTCTCTCTCTCTCTCTCTCTCCTTTCTTCCCCCCCTCTCTCTTTCTTTCTTTTCTTTTCTCTTCTCTTTCTTTCTTCTTTCTTTCTTTCTTTCTTTCTTTCTTTTCTTTCTTTTTCTTTCTTTCTTTCTTTTTCTTTCTTTCTTTCTTTCTTCCTCTTTCTTTCTTTCTTTTCTTTCTTCTTTCTTTCTCTTTCTTTCTTTCCTTCTCTCTCTCTCGCTTTCCTCTTTCTTTTTTTTTTCTTTCTTTCTCTCTCTCTCTCTTTCTTTTCTTTCTTTCTTTCTTTCTCCTCTTTCTTTCTTTCTTTCTTTCTCTCTCTCTCCTCTCTCTTTGCTTTCTTTCTTCTTTCTTTCCTTTCTTTCTTTCTTTCTTTCTTTCTTCTTTCTTTCTTTCTCCTCCTTTCTTTCTTGTCTTTCTTTCTTTCTTTCTTTCTTTCTTTCTTTTCTCCTCTTTCTTTCTTTTCTTTCTTTCTTTCTTTCTTTCTTCTTTCTTTCCTTTCTTTCTTTCTCTCTCACTCGCTCTCTCTCCCTCACTTGCTCTCTCTTTCCCTCACTCGCTCTCTCTCTCTTCCTCCCTCTCTCCCTCCCCATCCCCTTCATCTGACTTCTATCCATTGAGGCGAGATCTTACCAATATCTAAGCTACTGTCATCGTCAACTCTTTGGGTCATCGGAACGCACAAGATCCCTCTACCATACCGAGAAAATAAAAGGACCTTTTCACTCAACTGGAAGGTGGTTGGGGAGGAGGGGGGGGGTAAAAGCGTATGGTGTTAGACTCATATTTACATAGACCAATCAGCATTTTGTGGGTGATATGGTTAACATAACGCCAGCCGCCTGGAAACAAATGTCATTTTTAAGTGAAACCCACAACGATGGATTTTGTTGAACCAAAGACATTCGGGCTGGTAGGTGCTCGTCTAACCTCTGCACTACCGCACCAAGAATGGGGCATATTGGCGGAGACAGACTTCAGAAGACAACCTTCTTCTAAACTGCAAGAGGTGAAAATGCAACGTCTTTTTGGTTTAGTTTACTGCAAGACCATTTTGACATCTGTAGTCAAGAATGTCTGCTGTTTTTTCGTTGATACAGACCTTGGTAGAAACATTCACTTGTTGCCTGTGTCTGTTTCGTTTCGGCAAGCTTCCTCAGTCGCTTTGTGTGTATGTGCGTGCGCGCGCGCGTGTTTGTGCGTGTGTGTATGTGTGTGTATGTATGTGTGTGTGTATGTGTGTGAGTGTTTGGCGGGAGGGGGAGGGAGCGGTTGTTTTTTATAATTAGGTAAGTGCATTTCCAACTTCAAAGCAATCGGTTCATCCAATGGTTGTTCCAATCCAGTGCCAACGTAAACCACACATAATGTCCATTATTATCCCTTGTGGAAAACTAAAAAAAAAAAAAACAGACTCAGTCTCAGCCAATCCAGTAACATACACACGTATTGAATGCATAAGGTTGTCGTCAGAAATATCAACACAAGTAGTCTGACACTAGAAATGCGGTTCATCATCGACTGAAGCAGCAGTTACAATCACATAAAGCACCACACCACAGTTCATTGGCAACAGGGCACACGCTATGTTCCTAATTTAAAGTTCACAAAACAAACCACGTTGGGCACAAAAGCAGTACATGTGAAATTCTCAGCTCACAGTGTCGCGCCATGCAATATGCTCAGTAAATGGGCGACACAACTATATCCTTTCAGTCTACAAATAGAGGAGAGCCGTGGTTGTGTAGCGGCTAGACGTTCGCCTACAGATCGAAAGGTCGTGGGTTTAGGCTCTCAGGTCAATCCAGCCTCGACTGTGTGCCAGATACAGTCCGGGGAAGTAAAGTGAGCCGGCGTGATGCTGACCACATTACCCACTCAGTGACGATTGGTCTATAAAATATAGGTCTAGCCCTATATGCATAGCACTGTATACCATACAGTTGTTCCTATCAACTCGACATTACTCCCTATTTGCCGTATAGTTATTCCTATCAACTCGACATTACCTACTATTTGCCGTACAGTTATTCTTATCGTCTCGACATTAATCCCTTTTTGCCGCACGTTTACTCATAGCACAATTTTTTTTTTTTAATTGAAACGGAAAGTAGAACAGTTCAGCTTCACAGTACCCCACCAACGAAATATTGAACTTTGCGGCTAGAGAGCCTTCGTTAGCATACAACACCAACGGACAATGATAAACTCATAGACAAGACTACATGGTCACCTAGTTGAGGCCTGTTACAAAAACTCCATCTAAGTATGAGCACGAGAGACTCTGTGACACATGTGGTCGCGGGAGTAATATACGGGACATGAAGTGTACACATTTGCAACTTTTGGATGTTAAGGACTTTTAACTGTTTCAGTCCCAAACAACGCATGAAGTGGCACTGGCGATTCCTTAAATTGTAATATTGGTACGCAGAGAAAACTCTTTCTGCAGGTGTAGAAAAATAAGGTATGGCCAGAAGTCTGGGCATACATTTTAATACTAACGGAAAGCGATTTTCGTCTGCCCGTTTTTTTTTTTTTTTTCTTCTTCCAAAATTTATGTGGGGTTTTTCCAGCAAATTTGGTTGATCTTGCTTGATTTACTTGTCACATCGGCGACCAGATGGCCCATTGGCTCGCAGCTAGAAGAATTCGTCGCCGGTCGGGCCAGTATTTGGCGCTGTCTCCTTTGATCGCATCAACACTGCAGAAGTCCTACGTGGCGTAGTGTTAAGCCATTTTATGTGTCACAGTTATAACCTACAGCTCCCAATTTGGGAATGCTGGTTGAACCTGACGTGTTTTAAAAAAAAAATTTTTTCAATCGAATAAAGCAACGAAACGGATTTGTTGACAAGAACTTACTGCGGAGACCACCAGCTGTCAAGAACTTATGTACAGACAGTGTACCTAGCTATCTCTGCCAACATCTTAAGGGTTCATAGCATCTTGTTTTTTGAAAATGTCCGCCTAATCGCGTTTCGGTCTTTCTGACTGAAGCTTGTTATTCACGCCATTCTCCGCACATCGCATCCACTGTGTTAAAAAAAAGTAAAGATCCCTTTTCACGTCTTAGGCGCATCGGGTATATGGGAAGAGCGTCCCATATTTTTACAGACCAGTCGGCACTGGATGGGTAATTTGGTCAGCATTACGCCGGCCGTCTTTACTTCCCCAGGACAGCCATCCTGGTACCCATTTTAGGCTGGGTCGACCTGCGACGCCCCATACCATGATAAAAATACACGCAGCCAGCAGTAGGTTTCGATCACGATACGTTGGATTACGAGTCGGACTCGCAACGCCTTAGCCACGGACGCCGCCATCCACTGTGTGCTGTTATGCAATCCAAATTATATGTTTAACAGTTATCCACGTCTCTGAGATCATCCGCACCCACGGGCAGCTCTCTTGCTATGTGACCATGCGTGTCTTATTTTATCCGTTTATAATCCTCCATAAAGCTTAAGTGCGTGTGGTCCAGGGGTTTGAATATTCGTGCCACGACAACCATGCTGCATGAAGAGTTTACAGGTAAACAGTCACATAATAGTGACTGCCGTTGGACCCTGAATGGTTTTCATATATTCTAGACTCATGTTCTTCAATCCGTCATCCGTGAAAGTATTTTTGCAGTCCACCAAAAATATCCTCTTATTCTAATAATGGCTACAGAAGAAACCATCCAGAGACATCTAAGTGGGTGTTATTGCAGCGCTTCGTCTCTCAAAAATAACACTCCAGCTATATATTATATCCTCTAAAAAGCATGTCCTATTAGCTAAACATAGTAATATTTATAACATCACATCTATTTTTCTTTTAAATTCTGTCTACGTATAAGCTTGCTTCTATCTTAGCTGTCAACGGGTCCGCAAACTTAAGGTAGGATGCCCAGTTTTTTCAACGCCAATTCTGCCCATACAGTTCTGAAAATGATCGTAAACCGTCAACTTCTTCTTGGCATTCACCGGCTGTAAACTCCGACGGAACGTCGTGATTGTTCGTCCACTCCTGGACTTTCTGTATTCCTGATCCAGAACTTGAATTGTGCATGTGCGCCTGTACAAATCTGGCTGTTTGTATGTAGACTGTTCATTCCCTATCCTCCTGGCTCATTATTCTACTACTACTGCTGTTGCTGCTGCTGCTACTACTACTACTTCTACTACTGCTATTACTACGACTTACTTCTGCTTCTACTGCTGTTACTAATGCTATTGCTGCTGGTACTACTACATTACTACAACTGCTGCTAATACTACTGCTCCACTTATTCCTCCACCTCCTGCTTCCCCCTCCTTTTTCTTCTTTTCTTCTTCTTCTTCTTCTTCTTCTTTTCTTCTTCTTCTTTTTTTTTCTTCTCTTCTTCTTCTTCTTCTTCTTCTTCTTCTTCTTCTTCTTCTTCTTCTTCTTCTTCTTCTTCTTCTTCTTCTTCTTCTTCTTCTTCTTCTTCTTCTTCTTCTTCTTCTGCTTTTTTTTTTATTATCTTAATCTACGGCAATGTGATTATCCCAGCAACTACAACTATTTTCTACAACTATTTTGCCTGCATTGCAGAAGACCCCAGTCTGAACGATGTGGTAGACTTAATCAAAAACAAATTGGAGCATGGCCTGAAGTTCGGTAACAAGCAGGCGCAGAAGCGCGCCATTGACCACCTGCAAAAGACCAGAAACGAGCTCAAGGTCAAGTGCGAGTTTGGCGGTGAGAAGAGGTCAGTGAGAAATTACACATAGCTAGTTGTGCTTTGTGTTGTTGTTGATATTGTTGTTGTTGTTGTCTGTGAATATTATTTATTCATTGTTCTAAAGTGCAATTATATGTCACATAGTGCCCTCCGTCTATTTCTCCATTCTGCTCTAGCCGGTGCAGTCACCTCTAAATCCTGGATGGAACCCAGTCCAGCATCTCTGGCTTCTCTCGTCAACGTTCACTTCCGGGTTAATGACTGGTAGAATTGTGTCTGTCATTTTTGCAACGATAAGTCCAGATGAATTAATGGCTTCCACTTCCATGTTGACACTTCCACAGTTCACTGTCGTCGGTAACGAGGTTGTCAGTACCTGGTTCTCAGACATCTCAACCCCCCCCCCCCTCCTTTTTTTTTTTTTAAAGTAACCACATGAGGCGCTCTAGTATTTGTCAAGAGGCTGGGGCCCACCCCTAGAAATTATGCAAAGGGGTTAGGTTCCCCCTAACCACGTATAGACGTGTTTTTTTTTTTTTTTTTTTGAGTATTCGTTTCTACATTTCATATACAAATGTTTGATTCGAATATATTATTATATTGATTGCCAGTCAGCACTTATTAATTTTTTTGCATGTAAAGAATGCCTAATTCCCCAGAGACCCCTCCCCCCCCCCCCAGGAAATGATAAATGGGATGACCCTGATCTGATCGGCAATCATCATCTTTGTCCTGTGGTGACATCGTATGTCACATAACGCTGTGATGTCTGTTCCTTAATTCCGTTGTTTCATGTGCAGTCCTTTCCAAATCAGTTCCAGAACCTTTTGCCTCTCTCATTACCGTTACCTTTGAGGTTTCTTATGGACGTTGTTTCGCGTTATTACGGATTGTCTCGGGATTTTCCTTGGAGTGAAACAATATAGCGCCATCTTCAACAATGTAAACAAAACAAAAAAAATATTGGCAGCGGTGGGATTTGAACCCACGCCTCCGAAGAGACTGGTGCCTTAAACCAGCGCCTTAGACCGCTCGGCCACGCTAACTAATAGGCTTGTGGAGAATGCGGCTGGAAATAATCTCAAACCTGCGTAACTGCAGGGCGTCGGGTAAGTTTCCATACATTGTGAAATAATCATTTGAAAAGAACATGAACACATTTGTATTATGTATAATATGCACTGTATGACTACCATTGTTTTGAAAACGCATGCATATTTCACACTGATAAATAACACTCTGAGCACAGCTGGAGTTATGCTTGTAATAGCGTTGGTAGTGTGTTTATTATTCCTAGTGTAACCGAATGGGCATGATTACCCTTGTGCACACATATGCAGTGGTAATTTTTCAGAAATATCCTGTTCAACCTTCAGGGTTGTAATCGGTATATATAGTATTCATCGAGTTCTCAGGGTATATATATATATATATATATATATATATATATATATATATATATATATATATATATATATATATATATATAATATATATATATATATATATATATATAATATCGTCATAGATGATTTAGAGAGATGTCCTGTGACGATGGAAAACGTATTGCACACATATACCATTCTTTACCACTGGACTGATTCCACTTTCATAGAGTTTGACCAGTGCAAGTACACTTTTATGACTTTCTTCTGTGACAGAAACTTGGTACATCAACTTGAATCCAAATTCTTAGCTTAGATACTTCTGTCCTATGGTTTGTTATTTTTAATGTTTTGACCTACATTGGCTGTGAAAAAACACAGGACTGGAGAATTGGCTAGACACAGAGATACGTTCAGGCCTGTCGTGACAGTTACGTTTTTGGACGTAAACATTGGCTTTTCTAAACTAGACTTAAAAGCAGAGCTTTTGACGAAAGCTAAAGTAGAGCTGATGACTGTTAACTAGATAAGAACTCCACATGGGAGCATGCTCAGCAGGAGTCCACCGGTCGTCAGTAGAAAAATCCCACGTCGACGATTGTTTCGGCCAATTACTTCCTATACAATCTCGGAAGGTGGGTCGACCTGGTTCATGACACCAGGACTCGATCTTTCCCTGCCGCACTTTATAGGACAGGAACAAGACGAAATGGTGACTTTGCAACAGGTAACTTGAGATTTGGTGTTATATATATTGTCGCTGCGGTAGCAAATTAGCGCCTACCTTCAAGACCAGAGTGACAAGCCTACGGTTGGTTCATCGGACAGGTGTTAAATTTGGCATTTCACAGAGAGTCACTGGCAAACATTTATCGGACACTTTGGCTTTTAGTGAGGGAAAAACTCTTCCCACTAGGATCTCGGACCAGTCTACTGAGGCCCATTCCCCCACGACGTTCCTTTGAGTCCAAAAGGTTAAAGTAGAACTTTTAATTAGAGTTAAAGTTAAAGTAGGACTTTTAACTAGAGTTAAAGTAGAGCGTTTAACTTTAGGTAAAGTTAAAGTAAAGCTTGAAAAGTGAAGTAAAGCTTTTAACTAGAATTAAAGTTATAATAAAGTTTTAAAGTTAAATTAAATCTCTTAACTAGAATTAAAGTTAAAATAAAACCTTTTTTAACTAGATAGTTTCAAGGAATGCACGTTCAATAAAATAATGGCTTGTACCGATAGAAAAATAGAATAAACGAAACACTATGGTTGCATCTTTCCCATCCACCAGAGTTCTCTCAGTGCCGCGCCCGGTGCAGTTTGCAGATCTGTGCCGTAGATTACAAGACATGTACCAGATGATGTTGAATATCTTCTACACACAGAGCAATGGCGAGGTAAGTGCCCTAGTCCTTTCTGCTGTATACTGTTGTATTTTAGGATTTCACGTGTTTTGGGGGATTTATAATACAGTCAGTGTTGTCCCGAAGGTTTTGGCGATTGATAATACATTCAGTGATATCCCAAAGGTCTTTGTGATCGCTGATACATTCAGTGTTAACCCGAAGGTCTTGGTGATTGATGATACATTCAATGTTATTCTGAAGGTCTTTGTGATTGATGACACATTCAGTGTTGTCCTGAAGGTCTTGGTGATTGACGACATATTCAATGTTATCCCGAAGGTCTACGTTATTGATGATGCATTCGGTGAAACCCCAAAACTCTTATTGATTGATGATAACAGTCAGGGTTATCCCAAAGGTCTTGATGATTGTTAAAATAGTCGTTAGCTGAAAACTTTTATCACGAAAAACAAAAGCTAATCAATTCTCTTCTATTGTCAGTCTTTTGTCCAGACATAAAAACGGACTCATTGCTTGACAAAGAATATCCATGTCTTAGTTGTATCAGATTTTCTTTTTTAACTTCCTGTTTGTGTGAAATGATTTTCTAGCCATGTCAGTAATAAAAACTAAAACAGATAAATCGAGTAAATATTATTGCTGCGCTTTACCTGTTAGAATTAACACCCCAGCCACGCTTATACATTTTTTTAAGTTTTAAGCAGTGGCATATATCATTTTAGCTGACATGGGATATGTAACAGACAATCTGCCACCTACATGTGGTTTTGTTGCGTTGTTTGATTAGGGCTATGTCATATGGGCCACGAAACAATTTGTCCTCGTTTTTTTTTTTTTTTTTGAGCCGCGAGTGGGAAAAGTTTGAGAAACACTGATCTAGTCTATTGTTGGTGTTTATTTGTGTCTTTCTTCCATCTAATTATTATCTGTCATTTTTTTCGTATACAGGACCCCTATCCGCCACTTCAGGCGCATTGAGCACAAAGGTCTGTGCCTATAGTTTGTAGACTTAATGCCGCTCGGTGGGTGATGCGGTCAGCACCACGCCGGCCGCGTTTACTTTCCATCTGGTACCCATTTAAGGCTGTGTCGACCTAACAGTCAAGGACGTTGAAACAAAAATCCAGCTCCTTTCGGATTTGAACACACAAACCTTGGATCCAGAGGTAAACGTCTAGCCGCCACACCACAGCTACTCCCCATTCTTGACACTGGTAGAGCGTCTTGTTCATCCGCACATGTCTGCTTCCTAGGGTGGTCTTGAAAGTTATCCAAATTACAAGTTCAGAAGAATGTTATCATCAAGTACTTTGCCTACTTCTTCTTCTTCTTCTTCGTTCCTTCTGTCAGAAAACTTATATCAGGAGGCCGGTAGCCTTTATGAAAGCTATCGTGCAATCCATATCCTCTCGTGTACCATACAGTTTTGTCTTCAGTGTGGTTGGAACAGGCCAGATTGCGTCTCTGTTGTCAGCATTCAGTTGACAGTGTTGGAGCACATGCTCAGCATTTTCGGGTGCCACGCTGCAGGGACACGTCTCCGTATTTCCAACACCGAAAAATGTGAACATATGTTGACGAAATCTGTTGTGCCCTGTCCTTAGTCTGAATATAATGCACTGTCCCTCTCTAGAGAGGCGATGAAGTGAGTCTTGGGGAGAAAATATGGGGTGGGTATCCAGCCACCTTTCTTGGATACTAGATTGTATTAGTGTTTTCATCTCTTGGTGGGTTAAGTCGCTATTTGGTTGTACCATGTCACTGCCGCTTCTGGCCAATACGTGGCCAATCGTGCATCTCCACAATCTGCGTGCATCAGTTCGTGTGCGGACCCCCCCTCCCCCTTTCCCCCACGCCATGACAAAAGGCTGTCAAGAATTTTCTCCCACTGTCTTTCTCTGTCTCTCTTTCCACAGATCTTTTCAGTGGTCACAACATGTTCCAATTTCCCTCTTCTCACAAGGTGACCCAACAATTGTGACTGCCCCTTCATGATGTTTGCGATAAGTTGTCTTCGAGCCTTCGATTCTTTCAAAACATCTGGTTTGCTCTCTTTGGCTGTCGACAGAATTCTAAGAATTGTTCTGTAAAACCACATCTCCGAGGCATCAACATATTGTTCAACTTGTTTATTAATTATCCAGGATTCACAACCAAATGTTAAAACTGGGTCTTATGCTTCGATCATTCTTTTCC